TTCCAGCTTTTGTTCCTGACTTGCACCAAGCCTGAAATTGCTAGAATGTCTCCCAGGAACTTTAAATACTTTAGGTAACGATTTCATGTGGACAAAAGAAAGAATTCAACCTGACTTTTCTTAGACTGTAAAAATATTTTTTTAGGAAACAATTCCACCCTTAGAGAGACACCGACCATAGAATGTTTTGGACCACCACCCACTGAGATTTTGACATAGCAATGAGCAAGCAAAATAAAAAGTTATGCTTCCTAGTGTTAGGCAATTGTGGGCATTACTGGTATAAACACTAAAAACTTTGATGTGAAATTTAAACTTTTGAAGCTGTTGCAGGGAAGTATCATTAACTCTGCTCCCAACATTCAAATACATCCTCTAGCGCTCCTCAAAGGTTTGGGGTTTTGTTGTATCTTTATTTACTTGACTCTCTATTGCACAAATATTACTATCTGTTGTAGTGTTAATCTCTTAAAAGGAAGAGACTCCTTCACAGAACAACTTATTGGTAAAGAATTTAGCATACTACAGAAGATTTCTTTCAGAATACAAGACCATAACATCCAACCAAGACGGCTGATTTCCATCCGTTCAGACTGGCTTAAACAATGTATTCCAAGTGACGTGAAATCAGTTACAACATTGGGTCTGTCTGCACTAGTGCTTTAGCGTGCAAGAAGGGGTCCTTTGCTACGAACTTGCTTTAGTCCTGCATATGTGCACTCTGAATGATTCCTCTTTGGTAGAACCGAGGTGGTACCTGCACACCGTGGTGATCTCTGGCATGCCCCTCACTGCAATATGGACAGAAGGTCCTCTTTATGCATGCACAGTGCAGTGCATGCCCAACATGAATTTCATTTCTAGCGGAGACCAGATGTGGACATCCAGTTTTGGAAGCTTACAGGATTGCTGCAAATCAAACCCCTGTCCATCCCTGTTTGTGGTGCATGAGTTGGTAACTGTGAACTTTGATTTTTCACTTTCCAATTGTCCCCCAGGAAGAGCGCTCAATGCAGAAGCAAAATTTCACGTGCTGTTAAAGATGTTCTAAATCCTACTGCTGTTTCATTTGTCCTCCTTCTTCTGTGTATTATAAGCATGTAGTTTAGCAGTGTTTTACTTGGGAGAAATCCTGTCTATCTCTTTCAGAAAAATGCATGAATACCCCTTTTGACAACGGTCGTTTCGCCTTGGGAAAGAACGCATTTTATTTACAGGAGAAGGTCACCTATGGTTGTGATACTGGCTTTGTAACTCCAGAAGGACAAGAAACAGGAGTGATACAGTGTCAAGAGAATGGCTGGACTCCACCTCCAAAGTGTATCAGTGAGTAGCAAAAAGGCTTCAGAGCTCCCCACCATTGTCACTGGCGCAGACATGATGTCCTATGTACTCAGATTTTTGTCATCTAGACTGGTGGAGTTTTCTTGCTGGGCAGAGGGAGACTCAAAGAGAGGACTGATCCTCGAGAGATTAACCTTTCTGGGGCTCCAAGGAATAGAGAGAGAAAACATAAAGGAAGTGAGTAAGGCGGGAAAATATCTACTGTCTTCTAGGTGAACTATCTTTTTGGACCTCTAGCACGAAGTAGATGGTAATCACTGATCTCTCCAGTGATTCTTACCTGATACAAGGTACACATGCCCAAATTGACTCCCAATTCTTCCGCCTTTCACACTTGCGAGGGAAGATTTATGAAGAAATGCCTGTGAACCAAGGGATTCTGCCAAGAACTTTCTTTAAGTGTGACCAAACTAGAGAAAAATGGGACTCATTATTTGGAAAGATGTTATCACTACGCATAAAAAGCACTATGCATATGTCTGCCCCGGTGTTAACAAGTACATTGGTGAAAAACACCAGAGTGCTTTTTCCTGAAAATACCCCCATACTGATGCTGCCTTTTTCCTCTTAGAAGTTCCTTTCTCTCCGGAACAGGGGTGTAGGATAGTAAAAGAAGAGACTTAATCTTCCAGTGTTATGATACCGAGGCTCATAATATTGACCAGCCTTAGCTGATATTTCATCTTGTCCTTTTATTTCAGACTGCCTTTACCTAGGATTTTGTGGCTTTTTTTCTGACCCCCTCACAGATGACTGTGGGGAACAGGAGTACAAACTGTTTGCTACGACACCAATAATAATATGTAGTAGAAGGAAAGGCATTGAATCTAAGGAAGAAATATTTATGCTAGATACTACTTCTGTACACATATTTCTGAAGATTAATGCAATAGATACTATGTGAATATGCTACATATGATATGATACAATCATATTCTGGCAATGCATAATTTTTAATGTTTCAAATATACTGAGTAGTTCAGTAGACTGGCACACACTAACGCACCTTCAGTAATGATGGCTCCAAAGGACAGTGTTTGTGGATCACAAAATGCACTAACTTTGTTTTATTCTGCAGAATCATGTAAAACACCTCATTTGGACATTTTGAATTACCACGCAAATAGAACTATGTTCATGCCTGAAGATGCAATTGAATATGCATGTTTGGAGGGATATCAAACTGCAGATAATATGCCAACTGGTACCACAAGGTGTGGCATAAATGGTGAATGGAGTCCAACGCCCCAGTGTCTTGGTGAATATTGTTGTGTTGGCTAATCAGTGTAACTCTGTATACACTTTGTGAAGCTTTTTTCTTTAAGACTTTCTTTGGTTTTGTTCTAATCATTGGTATTTCACGTACTTTTTGTAGGGTGTGCACTACATGTTAAAACATTTTGTCTTTGTAGCAATAGAATGTGAGATGCTGACGTTGCCCAATGGAGATGTTTCCCCCAAGGAGCGTAAATACCGGAATGGAGATGTTGTGAAATTTACCTGTGCAAACAATTATGTGAGAGTGGGACCTGCCTCTACTCAGTGCTATTACTTTGGATGGTTTCCATCACCACCAGTGTGTAAAGGTAATTCTTCTGTTAACTTTACTGTAGTAGGAAATATATGAAAATGCCTGGGTCCTGAAGACTTCCGCAGACACCTTCTATAAGCCAGTCTTGCTCCCAAGAACAATTATCCCATCTTCATCGCTAAAAGGGCAGGAACTGGTCCTCTTCAGATCATTTCGTAGTGTTCTGCTGTTTCATGTGAAAGATTCTGAACAGCTGAACTTTCAGTGTTGAACTTTCTGTTAGCTTTAGTTATGCCAACTGGAGTTCTGCAGTAACTGAAAGTGAGCTGGCAAGTGGCTTGCGCAAAATTTCACTCATGTGAAATTGACTGTAATGTATGAAAAATTATTTATTAGTCAAAAAGGCATAAATAATGTGCAATATGGCAGCCAGGAGTGATTAATTTGAGTAATGTCCTCTCTTACTGTAGCCTAAATGTCCTAAGTTTTGCCACTGCCTAACGTTGATACCCGTCAGATATTGTACCCTATGTTCCTTTTTCTGATCACATGATATTGAAGAAAAAAACCTGTTTTGGAGATGACAGAGCTGGACCCAAGCAGAAGAAACTCAGTGAAGGGTTTTCCCTGTGAAATTCCTCAGCTTCATCCGGTAGGATGAACAAACTCATGCAGAAGGGAAGATCTGTGCCTCTATTCTTCTCATCCTTTTTAAGACAGAGCACAACTTAGTGGCAGCTGAAAAGAGTTAATTTTGCTGGTGCTATGCCCTTTCATGAGGCAGCTTGAGAGGATGAAGGGATCTCATATTTCTCATCTCCCTTTCTTCCCACTCAATCAATTTCCTTGACTTCCATGCTCTCATCCTTCTTTTTGCTCACTCTCTTTCGCACTGAAAACCAAGTATATTTCATATAGTTGGCTCTTTAGCTCAGGAACATTTTAAGCTCCCTTAACAGGAGTTCCATTCACTCCATCAGAAGTGAATTCCTTTAATATATAGTACATGTCACTTGCTGGGTGACTTTTATAACATAGGTTATTCTTACTTGCAGAATTTTCAGCTTTTTTTTTTTTT